TTCTGTTTTTTTTCCGGATGAGTAACTTTTGTCTGAATTGTTGTTTTCTGGCTCACACATCTGCCGTTATTCAACCACAAAAAAATGGAACAGAATTTGGGGAAATGCGAGCGTGAAAAACAAATTGTGGTCACAGATGAAGCTGGAAGCATCTGTGAATTGTTTGTTTTTAGCACTTGTTATTAAAGTGCTGTAAAAACACTGGTTGGCTGTTTTTCTGCCAACGTTTTTCTTTCTGTCTGTGGTGTTTGTTTGGGGTTTTTTTTCTACATGAGGAGTGGGTTGAGGAGTTAAGAAGGAGGTGAAGACAGGGTGGAGGCAAACATTTCACCTGGTTAAACCCCTGTCCCCTGCTGCCTGTCTGATGGAATTACCCACTCTATTAATGACCTCCCAGGTGAAGACTTCAACTGTGATTATCGTTTATCATTTTAATGTATTTTCAAGTTTGAAACATGATCGATTTTTCCTCCAAAATACATTTTCTTCTCCTCATTTCCTCCGTCCTCTGGATCCCTGCAGCGATTCCTCTGTTTTAATCCAATTGTTCCACATGTTCTCTGCTAATACGACACAAATGAACATCAAACCCGACGTGTTTGGAGTCAGGAAAATTGGAGGATGAACCTGTTTTAATTTTAAGAACAAAATTTTCCATTTTATTCAACTTCTTTTCTGCCAAATAATTAATTCAGACAAATTAATTTGAGAACACCTGCCACCTCCTGCAGCCAGATCACAATAATCTGTTGGATTTGGAGTGATTATTTTGGTATCAAAAATGTTCAAAAAATTATCTTCAACATCTGACATTGTAAAATTAATGAGAGTTTTTAAATGTAGGGTTTAATTGCAGACAAAAGGACATTTATTGTATGATTTGATCCAAGGAGAAACAGGTGGAATTTAGACATAAATCCTTCAGAGTCTCTTTGACAAATCAAATCTGTTCAGTTTTAAATGTTTGTAATTTTTAAAATAATTATTGTGATGATTTGATGCCATTACAGCACGAGCATTTTATTCAAATCTTTATTTAAAAAAAAAACCCCTCCCTTTCTGGCAGTTGCTGACCTGCTGGTGCAGGTGTTTGGTTTTTTGTGTGTGAGGTGTTTTCTTTTCACATGGCTGGGGAGATTTTTATCTCTGTGAACCAGTTTAGTTGAGAACATGGAGGAAATGTACTGGATTTTTAAAAGAAAAATAATCCTCTTTGTTTTCTGCAGTTTTATTGGTGAAAGAAAACAAACAAAGTTCTGCTGTTTTTTTTAATGATTTGATGAAAACCGTGCAGTGGATTATTGAGGATTATTCAGATTATTAAATTATGTGTGTTTATTTGTTCACATCATGCAGTGGCAGCAGCGTTTGCTGGAGTTGTTTCACCTGCAGACAAACACACTCAGACCTGAGCTGCTGTCATTTCATAACTGCCACAAATTCCCCTCCGACACTTTCCTGGTCTGTGCTGTGTCTGGTTCTTTTTTTTTTTTTTTTTTTCTCATCATCACTGATGTCGGTAACAGAAAGAGATGATTAAAAAAGTCTCTTCGTGTTGCCTCTGGTCGTTACACCGTGTGATTTAAACAGTGAAAATGGGCGTTGATGTGTCGATGATTCACTGGTGCAGGAGTGACCACCTTCACTGTATGATTCAGGTCTTTGAGGACCGTTTTAATTTCGAGAGAGAGGCGGGAAAATGTATATATATTGTTTATTTTTAGTGGGTTTTTTCTGTCATCATTAAAGTCTCAATAATTATGTAAAAATATGTTTGTTTTTTCTCGATGAAACATCAAACGGATGAAATATTCTCTTCATTATTTTTTTTTTAGTCCGAATATAAAATAATTGTATTTATAATATTCCCCGACGTTTATTTCCCGCAATTTGCAACGTCGGAATGTCATCGAACTTTTTCAACCGTAACCAGCAGTCCTCCTCCTCCTCCTCCTCTTCCTCTTCCTCTTCCTCCTCCTCCCACTTTAACTTTGACTCTACAGTCACTGTAGTTCACGTTTCAATCCGTGGAAGGTGTCGGGGAGGTGTGGGGGGGGGGGGGGGGGGGGGGGGGGGGGGGGCAGGAGGGGTGCTCCCTTTTTATTTTGGTACGGTAATTGAATGTTTCCTGAGGCAGAAAGGCTGCAGCTACTGATGATGATGATGATAATGATAATGACGTCATTCAGAAGAAGAGTTCTTCCACAGATGTACGACCATTGGCTGATGGAGTGCGCGCTCTGACCAGTTCAACCCGCCTTTTATTACTCAATAAAAAGTTTTTTCTTTTTCTTTTTTTAAATTGTCTTTATTTTCTCCACATCCACGATATTCCATCAACCCGCGGCTGTAATGTTGTTGTTACACCGCTGGAATTGTGTGATTTGGACACGTGTGGCACTGGAGTGCGTAATTACGCACGGATGGCGCAGTGGAGCTGTGGAGACACCTGAGAAGTGACGATGAGAGGAGGATTTAGGGAGACACCTGTCAGCTGTGTACTTTATATTTTTATTTATTTATTTCATTCTACTTCAATGATAACGTTTTCATATATATTTTATTATTATTTATTTTCTATCCTTTTCATGTTGAATGCGTTTTAAACCAGATGTGAAATCTTTAGAGAAACTTTCTTTTTTTTCTTTTTTTATCTTCAAAAACAACATTTATGTCACGTCTTTATGTTTAGTCAAAATAAAGATCCGACAGAACTTGTGCTCTGCCTGATGCCGCACACTGGACTCTGATAGGCTGTTTGAGCTGCAGTAACACCCAAGACGAGAGTCCGCGCGTGTGTGTGTGTGTGTGAGGGAGAGAGGGAGAGAGAGAGAGAGAGAGAGAGAGGTACTAGAGAAGAATTCTGCCCAGTAACAATCGCACAGTCGCGGCTCAGTGCTGAGGAACTATTGGCTCTGCGCACAGACACACGGGGAGGAGGAAACAACACAGACTGGAGAGAGAGAGAGAGAGAGAGAGAGAGAGAGAGAGAGAGAGAGGGAAAAAAAGAAAAACTTTAAAGAGACATTTCCCCTACTTTTCTCACAAGCGTTGCGATATAAGCAACAAGTCTGGGATGGAAATGGAACACAGCTCTGAATGCAGTGAGGATTTTACAGCGCCCCCTCTCCACCACTCCCACCCCCCATCTCACCCCTCACCCCCCTCACCCCCCTCCCTTACCCCCACACGCACTGAGTCTTGTTTCATTCAGGGCTCAGGGCTTTGAAGTTGCCTAAGAATAGGAGGGAGGATTAGCATATTTACCCATGCAGATTCTCTTTGTGACTGTACGTGAGGCTAAATCATCTGGCAGTCATTTTTTTTAATTATCAGCCCATTGACTTCCCCACTCCGTCCTCCACCTGCCCGCTGCCCCGCGTCACGTCAGTGCACTCAGGAATCCCCATCAGACGTGTATTGCTGTGGGATTTTCATGGTTGTAATTTTAATTTTTTTATTAGGAACACAGAACCTCAGTGTGAGTGTGTGAGTGTGTGTGTGTCAGCCATCACATGGTTGCGTTATCTTGACTAGAAGATTATGCAAAGAGAAAAGGGAAAAAAAACAACGACCTCAACGCTGCTGTTTCCTAGAAAGCTATCTCTTCAACCACAAGCAGTTTGTGGGCTGCTATTAAAAAAAAAAAAAGAATGCTCACACCAACGAGCGTGGGTGTGGGGCGGGGTGGAAGAGATAGAGGGGGCGGGGGCCCGGGACGGGTGAGGGTGAGGGTGAGGTTGAGAGGGGGTCTGTGGTCGCGCCTGTCCGTGTCCTATTGATATGACTCACTGTAATCCAACATGGACACACACACACACACATACATGTGTATGTACCTGCAGTATCTCCATCCTCAAAGTCACAAAGTCACGTGTCAAAAACCCGACAGAGAAGCTGCTAAAACTTCAGCTTTGGACTTTCTTTTTTATTATTGTTTCTTTCATGTGAAGTCATATTCAGTCTGTCCTCTACAGAGGGGACACTTTCTGTCCCCCAGAGAAAAAAAAAAACCAAATCACTCAGAATAAAAGTCTCTATAGTATATAAAAATGTGCACAAACTTAGGAAACAAATCACTTGTTTTGACCAAACAACCGAGTTGAAATGATAAAGTTGTTTCAAAGTCTTTCACAGATGTGTGGAAAATGACCAGTGAGACACTCATTTGGACATTTTTGATGTGTTTCAATCAAATCATTGGTTCATTTAAACCCAGATTAATTAAATAAAGGTGCAGTGAAGGTGATATCTATTGTCTTTGTATCTGAAATGAGGTCAATATTTGGTCTACATCAAATACAGAGACAAAATATGTGGAAAAAGGGACATTTTTAAAAACTCACTTTTATCAGGATCATGTTGTTGGTTCTGTTCAGCCCAAACTAATCAATAAAGGTGCAGGAAATGTATGACGAGTGTCCAGTCAGATCCTCATTAAAACTATATATATATATATAGATTCATATTTATGTCTCGTCTGTAGTGAGAATACTCCAAACAAAAATCTCAAGTGTAAATCAACCAAAGATTCATTTTACTGTTAAAATCACATTTCTGTTTCCGTTCAGTTCAAATGAATCAATAAAAGTACAGGAAATGTCGAGGAAACAGACACGTAGACTTTCTGAACACAGTTTTTATACATGATCGTCTTCAGTGAGGATAAAACAGGCACAGACTAAAATAAAAACTTTTTTTTTCATGTATGATTAACCGAACTTTTTTTTTTTACTGTTTACATCATATTTGTTTCCGTTCAGCCCAAACTAATCAATAAAGGCGCAGAAGATTTGATTAAACGTAATAACAGAAAGGAATATTCTGTTTTAACCTTTTACATTCGGGGCTGAGAACACCGATGTGCTTTGTGAGGGTTTTTCTTTTTTCTTTTTTTTTTCCAACATAAAGTTGTCTTGTGTGCCAGAGGAAGAAGGCAGGGGGACAGCAGTGCAGCATGTTGCGTCTGGTCTATACAGAGGTAATGAAGTGAATTGCGTCAGTGGCGCATGCAAGGCAGGCTTGAAATGCGCCTGATCTGGCCAGGCGGATGAAAGCAGAGGCGCACTGAGGGGAGAGAGGAAAAAGTTCTCAACAAGGAGAGGCAGGACTACTCTTACTGAGCCCCTGCAGTCTCACTTTTCTGTGCCTCGAACAGACTTTCCCTGCTATCCTTTTTTTTTGTCTGTGTGTGTGTGCGTGCCATTTTCTCACCCTGCACCGCTGCTTTGACATTTCCGTGAGAGAAATCCTACTTTTTTCTACTTAAGTGAAAGCACCAGCAGCACCATGGAGCTGCTCTGCCTCGAAATGGACACCATCATTCGAGCTAGTCCCGATCCCAACCTCCTGTGCGATGACAGAGTCCTGCAAAGCTTGTTGACCATAGAGGAGAGATTTCTACCCCAGTTCTCCTATTTTAAAGGCGTCCAGAAAGATATTCAGCCCTTTATGCGGAGGATGGTCGCCACTTGGATGTTGGAGGTAGCACCGAGTGCTCTGTATTTCCGTGCTCAACTCCTAAAGCCTGCTGATTTGTTTCATTTGCTGCTCTCCGGAGCTCCGTGTGCGGCTGATGGACGAGCAGACCAGACTCCCGACTCTCGTTTCCGACACTTTATCCCTCATATGAAGCCAGTGTGTGCTTTTCTGTCGCTTTTTAAGCCGCTTTAAAGTCCGCTCGTGGCGGCTGCGTTTCGGCGTTGAAGAGCGGCGATGTGAGCGTCACTGGGGGATTTTCTTTCCGACACCTCGCTGTGTGCGTGTGTGCACGCTGCCCGTTGATGTTTTATTGTTATTATTTTAGATTGCCGGAATATTTCCATGCACACGTATGCACTCCCCAATGCAACGCTGCCCTGAGCTGTACCTTCGCCATGTTGGTTTTTTACAGGAGCGCTTGTTGCTTTTAAAGAGGACTTTACAGTGTCATAAACGCAATAACAGCGGCTGGAGCCCATCGGCAATGACAGACGAGGCTCTTGGGTGTCCGTGTAATACAGAAAATGTCACAAAAAGCGCTGCTGTTTTCCGCTGTATCTGTTTTAAATGTCGGAAGGGACGAGGGCCTTATCTGTCCCTTCGGTCTTCCCCCCGTCGCATTGCCTCACTCTGGAATTATGTTGGATTTTTGTCACTTTCTCAAACATTCCTGGTCAACATGTACCTCTAAACAATCGGGAGACTTTGGGCTTTATTTTCATGTACATATCGTTAGAATACGAGCCGGCGAATATTTTTAATTAATTTTTGAAATCCCGATATCGCTTCGGCTGTGACGCACTCCAAACCAACCTCCTGCTACTGGTCTTAAATTTTGACATTTTATTCATATTTACCCCGCGCGAATCTGGATAGGAATTGTCGGGTATGATGTGGAAGGCCCCCCTGAACATTATGATGTGAAGAAAACGGGTGTAGATAATTTATTTATATTTTTAAATATTTTATGAAAATATGACGACTGAAAAAAAGACTGTTTCCGTGTGCTGCGCTGTCGGGGTGTTTTTGACTCGACTGATTGTGACTTGAATTCATTTCTTAGTCCATGACTTGCAAGAATGTGACTGTTGACACTGTATGTCCGACATCCTTTTCATTTTTTCGTCAAATTATCTATTTTTAATTAATTTATGATGTCGCAACCGATTAGGGCTGGGCGCAGAATCTTGGCCGGGCCCCAACTGTGTGTCATACAATTTATGTGTGATTCTTATTAGACGTTTGTTTCGATTTCTCCTAAAAGTTTTGTATACATTTCAAGTGCTGTAGCTCAAGTCGGGTCTCGCTAAAAGCCCCTGTGATGTCTGTTGTGTCTTTGCTCAGGTCTGTGAGGAGCAGAAGTGCGAGGAAGAAGTTTTCCCTCTGGCCATGAACTACTTAGACAGATTTTTAGCCGTGGTACCCACCAAAAAGTGCAACCTGCAGCTGCTGGGGGCAGTCTGCATGTTCCTCGCGTCCAAATTGAAAGAGACTCGTCCATTAACTGCAGAGAAACTTTGCATCTACACAGACAATTCCATCAGACCACAGGAGCTGCTGGTAAGCAACATTTTTGCA